TCACTACAGCTTTTCCCATTGGGAAATAAAAAAATCACTCTGCAGAGTTTCTGAATAATATTTCATTGTGTACATAAAGGCTACTTTCAGGCAGTATTACTGTACTGACATTTCTATTACAGTCCCTTGTTTGCACAAAGGCATTAACACACACAGATAGACATTCATTTCACAAACGCTGAAAATACATCAGTCCCCAAGATAAGTGGTTAATGTGCAAGAACTGCACTTTTTAATGTTCCCATGAAGATGAGCCTGTTGTAAAAAAAAAAAAGGACTGTATTCTGTACACAAAAAAATAGGGATGGCATGACAGGTTCAATATACAAATATAACAGTTTTAAGATTTTTTCACAAGAAAATACAGTGCTTTCATATTTACCTCGGGTACATTTCTTAGAATTTTAGAGGAAGATGCATCTAACTGATTGTGAAAAAATTGAAAATAATACAAAAAATAAAAGCATTGGTAGGAAATCTTACCAAGGGGAATACTGTCTTTTCTGACAGAACTCTCTATAGAAATGTGTTACTGAAAGCAAACTGGGACAGAGAAATGGATGCCCCTTTTGTACTAAAAAAAAGGAATTGAAAAACAATTAATAATCAGCTGGCGGGGAAATGTTTTTTTTTTTTTAAACTGATATTTCCTGTCAAAAATAAACAAAATACTAATGCAAAATTATAACATGTACAGGTAGTGGACAAAAATGAAAACACTCATGTAAAGTAATCTAAGGGGGTGTTGGGCCAGCATGTGTGGCCAGTATGGTCTGAACAGTAATAGAGTCTACCAGTGTCTGGAATTCAGCAAGAAGGATGCGGCTCCATTCTTCTACAAGAAAGCCATTCAAGTCGGGCCTGGTTGATGGAAGTGAAAACGCCGTTTGAGGTGTTGCCCCAGAGTATCCCATAAATGCCCAATTGGATTCAGATCTGGTGACTGAGAAGACCATGATATAATTAAAAGATTGTTACATTTAGGGGGTGGGGGGTCAGTGTTTGCACTTCTCAAGGTCCGAGAAACATTGAGTGGGAATGGAGGAGTTTAATGAGCTGTCAGTTCTCCGAGATATAATGATCAAAAGGGATCTTCTGGGCAGTTACTCGAGTTAATCATGGTAAGAATAAACATTGAACACCCAGAAAGATAGGATAAGAAAACACAGGAGAGACAGTCGGGTTTAGACTGAGAGGTTGACCAAAAGCATGAGGGGAACAGAGATACGAGGGAGATAGGAGGCTGGATGACCCTGTTAAACCTTAAAAGACCAGATTCTAGGTAAGCATTTAAAGTAACAGAACTCTGATTTTCTTTATGAGGATTTTCTCAGGCTAAAGACCTTCTCTTGTTAGTGATGCATTTTTAAAAAAGAGAAATAGGTTCCCATTTACTTTGGAGCCTCCGGATTTATAGGAAGGGAGATTTTAGTCTTGGCTGTATTTTGTTTTATTTAGGACACAGGATTATTGTTCCTGTTGACTTGTTTCTGCATTATATCGCATTTCTATATAATGTACCAGGTTAGCAGTCTGGATTTTCTGGTGGCGGTGAAGACCTAGACCTCCAAGATGCATTGTTTTATAAATATTGTATCTTGTGTGTTTTATGCTGTGTAGAATTGTTCGTTGGTTATCTGTGTAAATACATATCTATTTGTCCTAGCTTTCCTTTCATTTTTACTCTTTCGCCAGAGCTTTACCAGAAAATGAAAACTCAGGTGCCTCAAGCTATACGAATCGCTCAGGTGTATTCTTTGCATATTGGTGACAACTGGGGGCTTAATTATTTGTTAGTTATTGATTTTCCCACTCTGTGTTGCATGCTTTCTTAACCCTCTATGCTGTCAGTGTTGTGTCTATCAAGCCATTGAGCGAATGCACGTTCTCTGTGGATAAGGGCATTAACAGGAAACAAATGCAACAACATGGGGTGAAGATGATCACTCAGTACTATTAAATTGCAGCTAGCGTTGACCTTGCCTTCCAAGAGAATGGAGGAACACGAACTATGGCAGGAAAATGTGCTTGATAACATTTTTATCGAAAACATGTTTTTAACGTGTTTAGCGAAAAGAGTAAGGGCGTTACCCCGGCGTCCTGGCCAAATTTCCCATTGGCCCTTACCAATCATGGCCTCCTAATAATCCCCATCTATGAACTGGCTTTATTACTCTGCTCTCCTCCCCACTGATAGCTGATGTGTGGTGAGCGTTCTGGCGCACTATGGCTGCCGTCGCATCATCCAGGTGGATGCTGCACATTGGTGGTGGTGGAGGGGAGTCCCCATTACTTGTAAAGCGCTTTGAGTGGACTGTCCAGAAAAGCGCTATATAAGTGTAAGCAATTATTTATTATTATTATGGAACAACAGAACCCTTCACTGTTGAAGCCAAAGCAGTCAGGGCTGTAGAGGTCCTTAGGTTTGCATTACATGTTCACTCATCTGATTGTTAAGAACGTGACAGAGGAGGATTCATCTGATCATATCACATTCGTTCACTTTTCAGTAGTCCATTGCCTGTGCTCTTTGTATCACTGGGCTCACAAATGTGCATCCCAAGGCTAGCATAGTGGAGCTCTTGGGGAACCACATTGATGAAACTGAGGCTGTTTGCTCCCCTGGTTGACATCGTCAGTCAATTGATCTGTAGCAATTAGTGAAGCATTTACAGTATGTCGTTTGCAGAAGAGGCCATGGAGATGGCAGCAGTAGGGGGTGCCAGGGATATATTTCATTGCAGAATGAAAAAACAGTTTTCCAACAGCAGTTTCAGAGATTGTCCTGTGAACCATACCACATTAGTCCAAGATGGGGAGCGTGGACATGAACTAATATAGGCCTAGAGAAATGGGGGAAATAATATTTGAAGTTAAATCAAGTCTATACTTGACCTTAGCTTGTAATTTATGAATATGATTTTTGAAAGTTAAAGATTTATCAAGCTAAGTGCCCTGATATTTATTAATTTTGACTTGTTACCACTTTGTTTTACCTGGAGTAAAAATTGTGATTAATGGAGCAATTTATAATATTTAAACTTAAATAGCAGAAATTTAGTTTTCACAATTTAGATAATTCTATTGAAGTTGAGCTGCAAATCAGCCATTAAAAGTGACTTGTATAGATGTAAATATAGATGGAGGACCAGGATAGAAACTTGTTGGTCTCCTTATCCGACTTAATGAGGTTGTAAAACAAATCTGTCAGAGTTTACACCCTGTATCCTAAAACCCACATATAGGGTGTAACAGTGACAAAAACCTTAAATACATTTATTAAGGGAGCTGCACAAATAATACTTTTAGCAAGTTATGATAAAATCATTGAAAACTTTAATCGCTACTCTAACATGTTCATGTCTGGAACAAAAAGCAGACTGGACATGACATCACGTAAAATATAAGTGCTTTTAAAAAAGACAATAAATGCCTTTTGGTATTTTTTCTGTTACTGTTTTTGCATATACAGTATGTCTCTAGAAAGGTGTGACTTTCATCCTTTTTGAAAAGGTAGAAAAAGTGTGAACTGTGAGTGTGCTGGGATTTCAGCTGATTTAAAGGACTGTTAATAAGAGGCTCAGTGGAGCACAAATTGTATAATGTAACCAGCATGTTGTGGTATAAATAGTTCAATACAATCACTTGTAGTAAAAAGAGTTCAATACAATCACAGCTGGCAGATTTATTACTTATGTTTTTTTATAAAGCTGATCTAGTACTTCTTATTCAGTAACTTGAAGGGGCCTTAATAAGCATTATGAAGTATCAACCGCCAAACATACAATTGCCATCAATGAAATGCTCATTAAATAAATTAAATATGTATTTTTTGTCGCAACATTATTTTTCTGTATAATTAAAGCTGCTAAAGAGAAGGTAATGATTTGTTCTTTATAATTTTCTTTATTGGGCTTGCTTCGCAGGGTAGGAATTTGTTGGCTTTTTTATAACTTCTAGTGGCTTGTGTGCATTTATTTCTAATTAGTCAGAAGGAATGGCAGTTAGTTGGATTCATTATAATTTACCAAGCTAGACTCTTTAGCATTATTAAAATTGACCTCTTGGGGCTAAACCAAAAACTATTGAGATATTTTCCTATAAATCCCATACATTTGCCTGTAAGTCCCCCAACGCTCAGTCAGTGTTGCCGGTCACTGTTGCAGCATTTGGGAAATGGTCAGCTAAAGACACATTGTAATTCATTTGAAACATGTATTGTTTCTAAATGAATATATTCAACCTTGCTGGGACTGGAGGACTAGTGTCTGTTTTAATCTCTAGGAAATAAAATACAACACCTCATTTCTGTAGGCAGCCTGTTCCTTGGAGGGATATTGTTTACTCTAGCCCTACCTATACAAGAGATGGGGCAGGTGGCTCTTGTTTGAGTAAGAAACAGTCCAAAGGCTTTTTCCATTCAGAAGGAGATCTTTAAAAAAAGCTGTCATCATTTAGCTGCATTCACTCTGCAGGGGGCATAGTTGACACAGTCTGTTTTTTTTATTGATTTTCACGTGCTCCAGTACTGCTGTGCTGGGCAGATTTGATTTCTTGCTGCACTTAAAATTGCTGCATCTGTGGAATTTTTCTCTCCTCTTTCACTGTGCTTTTTCAGAACGTTCCAAATATAAACATCAATACTGCCTTTCTTCTTTTCTTATTGCCCGCCTTCTGTGTTACAAAACATGTACCCCAATTACAAAACATTTAATGTAAGTCCCATAACAGTATTACAATATATAAAGCTGGTAATGGCATTTGCCTCTGTACAAATGCAAGCCAGTGTGTGCTTATGGCAGCTACTGTATCTTAAATTTATATGAATGAATCATCCTATGCGATTAGAGCTCAATTACTATCTGCTTAAACGAGCATGAAGTTCTTATTTATTGCTGTCGTGAATGTATGGACGAATACCATAAAATCAGTAATCTGGATATGCTGTTTTTCCTCTGAAAAGGTTGTAAAACATTTAATCCATTCCTGCATAATTACAGAGGCTACAAAACAGGAGCAAGAGTTCAACTTTGAAGAGCAGGAAGAGAAGGCTAAGGCTGGAGACCCAAAGGCCCAGACTGAAGTAAGCTATCTTGGTTTTGGATAACAACCCTTATGAACAGTACTTGTTCAAGAATTGAAGGAAATATCAGTTACAATTATGTATAAAATTAGGATTTTTATTTTTTGTGTGTGCGTGTGTTTACTTATTCCATTGTTTCAAATATAATTGAATGCTTTAACCCACATAGAGCAGAGATCTATCAATTCCTGCTTTCCCACTGCTCCTGGTTACAGAATGACATAAGTATTAGCTTTCTTCCCCATCCATGTAGGGTTATAAAGTGAGCAAAAATTGCCTGATAGACATTCATATAAAATATTTTCCTTATTGTGTCAGTATTACAGGTAACCCTTCCAGCTATATGGATGTAAGGAGAAGCTAATTGATTGAGAGAAGCAAGGTATATGCAACACAATAAGTATGGTCCAGCTCTTATTTTTTCAAT